AAGAAGCTTTCCTTTACACAGATGCAATCGTTGCACGGTGCTAAAATAATTGAGGCATTTGTGTGTTTTACTAGCAGTAAGAATTCAGAAATTAAATGAGCAAATGTGAATGAATACGTGTGGCAATCTGACAGGCTAATGGATTTTTATCCACTGCTAAAGTGAATGAGCTGAGGAGAGGCCTAAAAGCATGTCTGTGAAAGTGCCACCTCATTAGACTCCAGACTGGTAAAACAGCACTTCAGTTACAGCACACAAAGGTTTGCTGATGTGCATGTGCACCACTTGATTTTATTGGCACCGAGTCCCAGAAAACAATACCCCAAAAGTACCTGGACCAACACCAGGGCTTAGAATTTCCAGGATGTATACAATAACACACCTCTAAATGTAGCCTGTATTAGAGGTCTGAAAAAATGTGTTTATTTAGTTGCTGACCACAAAGTGTTAGCAACGTGCAGGAATGTAGCTCGGTGCGTTTCTTGGACATGGAGGGGAGAATTTTCAACCCAGCCTTCGGAGCACACCTGCTGCCCAAAGGGATCCAAGTCCCCAGACCCTGGCAGTCCTCTGTGCGTGCGCAGGCTTTGGCTTCCACAGGACTGCTCTGCATCCGAGCAAGTGTTTCTGACAGGGAGCGCCGCTGTGAAAAGCATTAAAGGGTCACAAACAGCTCAGGCGGTCTGCTTGCCAGGTCAGTCACTTCTTGGTCACACTCTATATCCTTCTTATTCTCACTCCTGAAAGAAAAACAATTCACAGCTGAGACTAGAGATGTTGAACACCCCGTGTTTGCTCTGGGAGGTAAGGATGGCGAAGGGACTGTGCCTTGGGGCTCCTCAAAGAAAGCAGAAAGGGAGAGCAGCTGGCATTAAAGGGTCAGAATGTTCCCTTGGAAATCAGTTGGCTGCTTCTGCAGGCATGAAGGAAGCCGAGCCAAGCTCAGGTAGCAGCAGTAAATCAGGAACATGCACAACCTGTGTGTAGCGGGAAGAGGCCCCGCAGCATGTGTGTGAGCAGTGGCTCAGCGTGGAGCGTGGCTTTCGGGGATCCTGGCGGCATGCACGTGGGGAACCCCCTCACCTTGCATGGGGAAATGGCAGAACTGGCAAAAAATGGTGCAACACAAATGCAGGCAGGTCTTTGTACAGAGAGAGAGCACAGTCCCTCTGGGTACCTGCATCTGGAGAACCTTAATGGGGACCGACCTTCTAGAATATTGGGGGTGGGAAGGGGATGCAGCTGGGGCTGGGTGCACTGGAATGCTACAGACCAAGTCCCCAGCACTGGGAACTGCACATCAGCTGGAACTGCAGGTCTGCAGATGGAGAGAGGTGTGAGGAGTTCAGCTGGCGTTGTCTGTAGCGCAGAGGATCCGACGGGGACCCAGACGTTGGCAGGTACACGGAGAATGCATTTGAAAACTTGAGCGTGGAAAAGAGAAAATTGAATGAGCTTGTATAACCCTCCAGGCACCCTGTAAAGGCAACTAGAGAACTCTTCCCTTGCTATAGATTTCTGTACAATGTTTTTTTTTAAAGTGCGTGGGAAGGATGCCTACCCGCCTACCTCTATTAAATTCAACATTTTTAATGTTATCCTGTATGACTTCTCTGCAAACCGTTACTGGTTTCATACTGGGTAGAGGCTGCTCAGTGGGAGCAGCAGCGAGCAAGAGGAAAGGGGCTGCTCTCTTCATTCTCGTGTTCGTTCTTCCAGCAGTTGCGTGTCAGGGGATCACTCGCTGTTAGCTGGTGGCTGCCCAGCTCCGGTGGCCCTGAGGTTGGGATGGTTGTCGAGGAGCGGTTGATCCCGGTGGTGGCTCCTGACAGTCAGGAGGGGCTGTGCAGGGAAGGAGCTGTGCGGATGTTCAGCTGCACAATAAAGAGGATGTTTGCACTGAAGCGAGCTGATGTGATTGCGGATGGCAGAGGAAGCCGCCGAGACGGCTGTCACAGGGCAGCCAGACACGGGTTTTGTGTTCCCACTCCCATAGCCTGGCTCAGGGACCACGAGAGTGAGCAATTAGTGGGGGCAGGGTGCTGAAATTATTTTTATCTCCTCATCTTGTTGTGCCTGTGCTGAAGTGCCAGCCTTTTTTCTTTCTTTTTTTTTTTTTTTTTTTCCCCTTTTTTTTTTTTTTTTTTCCCTGCGAAGCATTAACTGGGTGGGTTGCCATAGCAACTCCCGCATGATAAGTTGGGCTGCTTCTTCCAGCATTCAAGATTTCTCTCTCAACATTCAGCCCCCTTCACCATTTCCTCTGGAGTGCCAAAATGGCTGAGGGCTTTGTGGTGCCGAGCATCCTACACCCTAAGGCTTACACCTCTCCTCCAGCCCGTTCACTGGAGGCATCAGGGCTGTGTTAGGGCGAGAAAGAGCAGCTCTGCATCCCTGCCTTTGAAGAATTACGTGCTCTCCGTCTCTTTTGCAGCACACCAGGGCTGAAAATTAGAACAGGTTTCCAATGTGGCATCCCGTTTATTTGCAAGCTTTCCTGAAGAGGGCTGGGCAGCGTTTGTCCATTCAAAATAAGCACATGGAGGCACTGGAGTGGTTCCCAGCTAAGCCCAGATTATAGCAACAATGAAAGCATCTTATCCTTTCATTCTAAAAACATACAGTATCCCTGAATACGTCCAGAGAAGTTTTTCTTTGAAAATAAACAAGTTTAATAAACCGGACTAACTACAAGTATTTATTTTTAAATCACCTTTGGTTTTGTCTGTAGCACATGAAGCATGCTCTAGGTGCAAAATAAATTTCTCCAGAGCTTGGGGAGAGGGTGTGATCTCCATCTGCTTCCCTGACCCCTGGCTTTTTGTGTTACAATCCACCCAAATCCAAGCCCAGTTTCACCAGAGATTTTCCTCACCTCTGGGCCCAATTTCCCTTCTTTACAGAGCAGCCAGAACACCCGTCTAGCAGGAGGTGCTTGGGGTCTGTACACAAGTGACCCGAGTGGGTTGAGAGAAACCCGTGGAGGAGGACGCGGGGGTATTAGTGGATGGAAAACTGACTGTGAGCCAGCAACGTGCTTTGAGCAACCTGGGCTAGTGGAAGGTGTCCCTGCCCTAGCAGGGAGTTAGAACTAGATGGTCTTTAAGGTCATTCCAGCCCAAACCTTTTTATCATTCTATGATTCCATGACAACTTGGTACTTTTTTAGGATGTTTGTTTGTCACTATCATTTAAATTGATTGTCAGGTGAGTACTGGAGTGCCTGGGGTGAGAGGAGAAAAGGGATCCTGTTTCGACCTGGGGGAGCACCAAGGCACCTGATGGCAGGGCTGTGCTGAGGCAGGAGTGCAAGGGGTTGAAGGGTCAGTCAGGCCGCTGCCAGAATCCGTGTCGTAGAGCTGCTGCTTCCTCTTAATCCTCTCAGACCCTCTCTCCCCTCCCTGGCAGGATTTTCCATAATAGATGTAATTGGAGCAGCCGTAGCACAAAGAGTACAGCTCTGCTGATCCGCGTTCTGTTTTCTGGCGGTGCACCTGGCTTCCTGAGAACAGATGTGATTTCCACTGTACTTCATGAAACAGGTGGTTGTCAAACGAGGTGGCCGGGGACATCGTCCTGTAGTTCCCGTGTCTATAAAAAAACCCCATCAGCACTCTCATCCGCCACACACGGGCTGGATTGTTCCAGAAGAGACAGGAGTGAGCCCTGTGCTTAGCCTGCCCTTCTCTTTGTTGAGTTGTTACAAATATAGCGAGGGCCAGCGGGAGAAAAACAAATGGCTCAATGGAGGAGGCTACATCCTTCCATCATCTCTGGGTATCGTGGCTGCCGCTTTGTCTTCCCGTGGAGAAAAGTCAGTTTTTAAGTAGGGAGATTCATGGCTTCTAAGGGGGCAACTGGAAGTCTGTTGCTGGTGTCCGCAGGCCACTGACTCGCAAGCTGTTGGTCCCTGTAGTCACACCTGGCTCCTGGGAGACACATTAAATAGGTGGGATTGAGTAATTTGCTGGTAGGAGTGCGCAATAACCCAAAGAGGTTTGGCAGCCTGGTGGCCAGTGTGTGGGGACTGGTGTGGCTTCGGTCAGGCCCTGCTGTAATATTCAGGGCTGCGAAGGTTTTGGGGGTCACAACCAGAGGTGGCCTGGAACAGGGTGGAGTAACCTGTCAGTAAAACAAAGCAGAGCAAGGATTCAGGAAGATGTCCTTAGCTAGGAATTGCTTGGGGTTGTCACGGGAGGCTGTAAAGGGTGAGGTGGAGGCAGTTGCTCTGTGTGTGGCTACTGGCGGATGAGGAATGCCACTGGCTGATACCAACGTGATTAGATGATGTCTAGGAAAAGTGTTGCTGTCTCTGCTCTGCGCCCGCTCTGCTTAAGCAGCGTAGAGGCCGGACTGCGTGCGTGCGTGTGTGTGCCCTTAGCACCAAGCCTGCCCCAGAGCTGTGGTGGTGGCCACCACCAGCAGCGTTGTGGCCAGCTGAGGGGCTCGAAGCTGATGCTTTCTAACGACTGCAGATGTCTCTGGGGGGGTCTCGCTGTCTGCGCTCTGAGTTTTGGCACAGGGAGTTGCTCACGTGTGGTTCTCTGCTGGGGCTGGTCAGGTTTAATTCAATAGATCGTGCTGTTTATCGAGCTGCCATCGGAGCAGATGCTTTAAAAAGAGAGAGCACATTTAACAAGCATTTTTTTATTATTTTTTTTTCCCTTTCTGTCCACTGTGACCTTCAAAGTTGGAGAAGCCCTTCAGGCCAGTGGCCCCAGTCCAAGAGGAGAAAGCCCAGCCTGCTCCTGGTATTAAGCTCCTGGGAAATCAGGCTGGAACATGAGGAGAGAGGATTTCCCTGTGACCTTCAGAGCTGTCAAACCCTAATTCAGGGGCGGGGAGGCCTTTGTGACCCTGCGTGGATCACTCCCCGCCTTGGCTCTGCCTTGGAGTCGGTGCCGCCGTTCCGCTCCGTGCAGCCTGCAGGAGGATGCCCGGGCG